ATGATCTCACCTTTAAGGGAATCTAATCAACAAAATAAACAAGCAAGCAAAATATAACCAGAGACATTGAAATTAAGAACAGGCTGACAGTAATCAGAGGGGAGATGGGAGAGGATAATGGGGGGGAAGGAGGAAAGGTTTTCAGGAACAACTATAAAGGACACATGGACAAAACCAAGGGGGATGGAATCAGGGGAGGGAGGTAGGGATGGCTGTGGTGGGGTGAAGTGGGGGGGGGGAAATGCAGACAACTGTACTTGAACAACAATAAAATAAAAAATAAATAACATCTTTTTAAAAATTGCAGTTAGTTTTTTTTAATTTAAAAACTGCACAAAGTAAGATTGTGTTATTGGTAAAAGGGTAGACATACAGATTAATAGAATGGAATGCAGAGTCAATAAATAGATCTGTAGAAATATAGCCAATTGATTTTTGACAAAGATGCAAAGACGATTCAATAGAGAAAGGATAATCTTTTCAGCAAAAGGTGTTGAAACAATTATATGCAAAAAAAGTCTCTACCTAAACTTCATACCTTATACAAAAATGAACTAGAAATGGGTAAGATTTACATATTAGACATAAAACTTTAAAAAAAACATTGGAGAAAATCTTTATGACATAGGCTTAGAGTAAGGGTTCTCAGACATGACATCAAAAGCACAATGTAGTGAAAAATTAATAAAAATTTTATCAAAATGTTTGCTAAGCAGCAGCTTCTAAAAATATGTAGTTATAATATTTTTATAAAACAAACAAAACCCCATAAACAGTTACATAAAAATTTTGTAGTTTTGAGTACAAATTTTAAGTTAAAAATTTTGTTGCCTTTGAGTAGCTGGTGCCAGGAGGCTGATGTAAACTTGTCTTTGACTTTCAAACTTCCTGTGGTGATTGAATTTTTATGAGTGTGTCTTACTTTTCATACAAAGTCACAAATCTCCCCACCACTGGTAGCTTTTAAATGTAGTTGGGCAGCAGTCTGCTAAAAAAAAAGCTATGAGAAGATTTGGGTTGACACCTTGGATTCCTTCCAACTCTAAAATCTTAGGATTTTATGATGATATACAACACAAGATACCATATTTGCCCTTCATAACGTGTACCCATGTTTTTGGCCCAAACTTTCAGGAAAAAATTTTTGTTTTAATTTTTTAATTCAATTTTTAACTTATTTATATTTAGAAACAAAACTGATTATCATATTTCAGGGTATTATTTTGCATACAGATATTGTTATTGTTTTCTAGAGTTATACTTTTAATTCATAGGCATGAATAAAAATTAAATAAAAGAATTAAAGGCATTTGTATAGATACAGAATTAGTACTACCCATGTATACCCATGTGTACATGTTGAATGTACATCCTTATTTTTCCCTCAAAAATTTGGGCAAAACAGTGTGCATTATACATGGCAAAATACAGTAATTAAATATCCCCTAAGTGAGAAAATGTTTGCCAAATTTTATTTAATTTCATATTCACTAAAATAGAAATACTCAAAGCCCAACATTTCACAAGTGCCTTCTAATAGACTCAAATCTTGACATATACTGCTTGTAATTTGTCATGAGTCACTTGACATACAAGTGACTAGTACCCACTTTCAAGTGTATTCTCTTAACAACTTTAAGTGGGTCACCTTCTTTTGCAGAACATAAGAGACCAATCCATTAATTGGATCACAGTCCAGGAAGCATAATCTTCTCGTGGAATCTGCTTTTTTATCCTTACAAGCCTTAACTTGCATTTATTTTACCAGTAAACTACATTAAGTCTCTGAATTAATGGAGTGAAAATCTGAAACTAACTAAATTAATGCACCTAACTTCACATAAGACATAAATTCTCATAGTGAAATGTTAGACTGAGGAGCACTTGTGGTGGATTTTACTGGACAGTCAATGAAATTTAAGCTTCGGGGATCTTTATCTATGCAGACCCTTCCAAGGGCCTTTTAGAAATGTGTTCACATTTTTGTAGATTTGAAAAAGTAATATATTTTAATCACAACCAAACACTGCCTCTTTCCACTTTACTTTTCCTCCATCATGCTTTTTCTCTTGATGAGTGGCAACAGAGGGGCTATGGACATTTCAGAGATTAAGTTAAGGAGAAATAGAGTTGGGGATAGGTTTCATTTGAGTTTAGTAGAATATATTTTTGTGGTTTGCAGAAATTCTGTGTATAATTATAAGTTGCCACACCAGCATAGGAATGACTTCAGGGATAGTCCTGGAGCTCACTATGCCAACTCACTTGTTGAGGGAGCATGAAGATCCACACCAGAGTTAGTATCACACAATATGAATGTGTCGGTGGGCTCTGATCCTGGAAGTATTAGGTGATGGAGAGAACACAAGGTTTGAAATGTACAGAATCAAAAATGGTGTGTGGAAAATTTTTTTCAAAATTTTACATGTTATAAATGAAATAAACTAGTTTTTGCAGATTTGATAACAGTCCCTACAAGTTTAGACATTATCAGTAATGAGTTGTAAAACTGAAACTTTGCTAATCTACCAATAATAAAAAATACATTTTGATCAAACATACTAGAGGAAAGAATTATTTTTTTATTCTTCTTACAGAAGACGATATTATAAATTTTTTGTTAAATGAAGAGGCAACCAAAGAATATGTACCCAGAAAGCATAAGGTAAAAGTATTATAGAGATTTGCCAGGCAGTTAAATAAATTATTGCTATTTTTCCAGATTTTGTGATATTTATCTTATTTTAAGCTTTATAATTTTCTGTGACTTCTCATTCTAAATAAATAATCACCTGATTTCATTTTGCATTGTAATTTTTTGTTCTTTTTCTTAAAAAGGGCTACCCAAGTTGTACAAGTTTCAGGCCCTACAAAACCTTGATTAACTCTGCATAGGAGCTTTTGAATATTTAGGAATGGAATAAAGCTTTATCCTCTTGGTTTAGAATTCTTAGTAACACAGTCAAATTGGATCATGATTTACTTAGTCTAGAATCTGACCTCTGCAATAGAATTAATAGCTCTGAAAGTTCAGAACTGATAGCAGTGAAAGAGACAGATTTGTCACCAGTCACCCTGCAGGAAGGAAACCTGGGTGGAATTTGGCACCAAGTATGAATTTCTCTTCCAGAAAAATAATCTGCAAAGGTCTGCTGAAATGACCTGGTGGAACTTTGATCTAATTTTAAAAAGGAAAGACTTTGAAGCTTTTCAGAGAAGTGTGAACACTGGATTTGTGATATCCAGGTTCAGTTCACCTAGTTTTGGTTTCTACAGTGTAAAAGACAAGATAAGGTTGTTATAATGAATGACAGTGACAGTGCTTCCAACCTCACCATCCTTTCCTATCCTTTCTGGCAGTGACTGAGCATTGGACAGGATTGGTAGATGTTATGTGAGAGCCTATGACCAACAAAGCCAGAGACCTCGGACATGATCTCACAACAGTTTATCTCCCTCACAAGAGCAGATGGGGTTAATACACTGAGGTCATTGTTCCTAAACAAGTTATGTCAAGGTCACTGGCCCTTCTTTGAAGAGAAGTTTGCCTATAGTATCCTTTTTAACCCATTTATGAGTAATACTGCTTGCTTGCTCTTTTTGATATTTATGCTCCCATTGAAAGACTTGTTCTTTTATATTCCAAAAAAAGGAAAAAGAAACTTGTAATTGCATTGCCCTATAGGCACACAATTTGGTTCCTGGGGCAGTGATAAAAATTAGTAAAGCAACTCCCCATCCCTGTTTCCTGGACTGGCCACTTAGCAGTCCCCAAAGGAAGGAGACAAAGGTTACAGAAAAATCCTTTCTGTCCTCTCTAACTCCCCAGCCCTAAAATGGTCTGAGACTAAGTCTGATTCACACAAGTGAACATCCTTTAAGCTGGAGTCAAGATGGGTAATAAGTGGATGCTACTTAGCATCACATTCAATTAGAAATAAAAGTAAAGTGGAAGACTTTAAGCAGTCTCTGCTGCTTGATGTCATGAAATTTCTGTTTCATTGCAATGCAAAGAATCAGAATGTAGTACAGTCCGAAGAAGTGCACCATTCCTAATTTCAGCAGTTCTGACAACACCGGACCACTCTCTGAATTATCAAATAACCCTCTTATTTGGACGGTTCTTTGTGATTTAGTGATAAAGTTTGTAATTTAGAATAATGATGCATTCTACAGGAGAAAATGACATAGAATTATGACTATAAGACAGAGATGACAATGGCAGGTTTGACTTTAGTTTGTTTAAACAAAGGCATTTTTTTCAGAGAACATGAAGCATCCCTGATGTTATGAATTCTGTGAGGTGATAAAAAATTTTTATCATTTGTTATATTCTTTCTTTATCATTTCAAGTACTGTATCATAGCTATGCATATACAGAGACAGACATGTGGGTGTGGTTCAGCAAAGCAAAATATCCTGTTTTCATAGGACAATATTCTTGATGCTGGTTCAAGGCTAGCGCTAAATGTGTAGGTTTGGAAGGAAGTTTCATTTCCAGAGAAGAAAGACTATGTTCTCCCAATTCTACACAAAACTCATTATCAAAGAATCAAAAAGAATCAAGAGTTGCTGACTTTTCTTGGTGTCCATTCCCCTCCTTTTTGAATAGAGATCTGAAAGCAACAGACTGAAATGCTTTTCCTAATTAAAATTTTTACTTTGGTTCTCTTACCCCTGGGCACTCCCAAACCTTCCTGAACCCAGAGCTCACACTCTTGTAATGAGAACATGAACAGTACTAGCTTTTCATGTTGTACTAGATCAACATATTTCATGATTTCTTTCTAATGGTGTCAGGCTCCACTTTTCTCTGTTGCTTGTAAAAGTAACTGTCCTTTCATCCTCTGCAAAGGAAATACCAAAGCTGATAGTCTGTGGGGTCCCCCGTATTTGATTGTCAGATATCCCTCACTTTAGTGATAACCATCACCATGGACCTGGTGCTTGGCCAGGCCTATGAAAGAATACTCATTACCTCTGCTCTCATCTTACTCTACCTCTTTCCATGTCAGTCTTGATCTGCTCTTCAAGATCCTCTGGAGACACATAGAAGTCCTCTTCTGGCACTGATGATTTGGGTCGGCAACGTCCACAGCAGCAGTTGCAACAGCAGCACAGACAACAGCAAAAATAGCAGCCAGTCAAGAGGCCAATAATGACAAACAGGGTCTAGGAGAAACAGGCAAAGCAAAACAAAGGTGAGGGGTAGTGGAGTCTGGAAAAACCCTAGAAATCAAGTGTGTACCCTGTACCCCCAAAGACCTGAAGACATCATAGTGCACCGTGCACCCTCATGCTTATTGCACGCAATCTTTTTCATTTTCTTGGAAACAAATTCTGCATAGTTTTGCCTAGCAGGTTAAACCCAGAGGGAAAGACCTGTGACCAAAGTAATGATATATGACATCCTCTTCTTTATTCTTAAGCTAAAATGATCATTACTGAGAGTAAAGCAAACAAAACAACAAAGAAACAAACCAACTAACAAAACTACAGGTCTCATGATCTAACCAAGGGGGATGGAATCATTCTCACCAAAGGAGCTGTTGATAGCTCCCCCTCCCCCAGCCACATTCCTCTTAGTCATCAAGTACTGCAAAGTCTCTCTCTTCAACATTCCTTCCACTCTCTTCCTCATCCCTGGTAGTGCCTTAGAAAACACCCCGTTATTTCCACTCTGGGCATTTCAGGAGCCTTGTAACTGGCCTCCCTACCTCCACTTTTTTCTCCTAATCCACCCTGTGCATTGCTGCTGAAGCTTCCAGAAACACATGTTCTCTTGAACTCATGCAGTATAAGGCTGGAGCTCCTTATTTTGGTCATCTGGGCTCTGCCAACCCCTCCCCTATATCAGCTGACCCTGTTTTAGCCATACTTTCCATAGCTTTGCTCTCCCTGTGGATTCATCTGCCTAAATGTCCCCAGCCCCTCCCATTCCCCAGTCATCTAATAAATAACCACTCAATGTTTATCCTCTAACATCTTTTTTGATACACCTCCCTTTTTTTCTACCCCAATTGTACTCCATACAAACTTCTATCATGCTGCTCTATTTGTTGACACTTTAAGACATTTATCAGTTAATAGATATGTCTCAGACTGGGAGATTCTTGAAGGCTAGAGCTGTATGTTAGTCATCTTTCAATCCCTCCTACCTAAAGATATAGTTCCGGGTATGTAGTAGACACTTAATAAATACTTACTGAATTAATGAATGTATAAAATAATAGGTAAGCAGATGTACCTTCCTATGGTAAGAGTGTCATGTCTGGAGGTTAGGTTGCCAGGAAAGCCCACAAAAAGCCCATTTTGTTATGTGTAAATGTTCAATCTATCATCATAAATGAAATTGTCAGTATATAAACTCTCATTTCAAGGTCCAGATCTGCTAGGTATGAGCTTGTCTCCCTCCTGATTCTTCAACAGTAGAGAAATGGGTTTTCAGTGGGAAACTTAGTTACCTCCAAGAAAAGGAATTATGGAGACCTGAAGAAGCCAAAGAAGGCTTTTAAGTTGCAGACTCCATGCTTATGTACAAACACATATTCTCTCTCTTCCTGCATGTATAAAACTCTTCAGTTTAGCAGGATTTATTTTAGTGGAAGAAAATAGCAATTAAGATCCTACAGAATATGAAACCTACCTGTTCGGAGATCAACAGCTTTTTACATTATTCGTTACTACCCATGAATGTGAGTTTATATGATTTCACAAAATGTATGAACTGTCCACATGTATGTGAATTGTCCAAAAATATAGTGATGGACTATATGTATGGTTCATATGCAAATACATTTTTATCAGAATATAAAGGTATTAAAAGTCATTAACAAATATAAAGCCATCACCAAACACTAGGCATACACTAGGCATTCCTAGGAAACTGCACAAAATTTAGGGTCAAAAATCAGTTCTAGCTGCATTAAGTCCTTTAAAATATTAAAATTTTCTTGACCAGGTATCTTTTTTCCCTTTCTTTATCTCTATTTATGTCCAATTCCCTGTCCTCCAATACTTAATTCTCACCTTTCCCCCCTTATTTCCTTCTCCATAACCTTACTGCAGGCTCCATGTGAGCCTATAACACAATTACCACACACTCTCCCAAGTATTGTGTTTGCTGATGTAGCCTATGCTATAAATAGTAAAGTACATGGCTAAATTTTTCCTATAATAATTTATTAAACAGTTGTCACACCAATAAATTATTTTTGGTTTTGAGCAATGAGTCAGTTCTTAATTAGTCACTACAGGGGGAGAGAGGGCTGTCAAAATTAACCTGAAGCTTCAAATTCAAATATAATTAATGTCTGGAAGTATTTTAAGTAATGCTGTATATTATAATCATTTGATGAGCTAAAGTAAAAATGATCCTCAAATAATAGCTTTCCATTGAAGCTGTATTTCCTTTTATTTACAAGAGTTTAATAATATATTTAAAGTTAGGCTTTCTTTGAGATCAACTCTAAAAGAGTGAATAATATCATAATCTACCAGAAAATTGTTTTTGAAGAAAAAATATAATTCACCTTTGCCCACCAGCTTGACAGCATAAAGTAGGTATTAACATTTTCATCTCCAAATTGCTCAGCCACATAGAGTCCCAGTGATCCATACTTGTCATATATGTTTCTCTTTGATATGTCAGTAAGTATTGTGTGGGCATTGTTGATTTCTTTGAACTTGTCAGCAGCTGCTGGATCATCTGGATTCTTGTCTGGATGGTGTTTCAAGGCCAACTTTCTTTTAAAAAAAGTAAGGAAAAGTGTTATTTGACACAAATGATAATGACATTTTAGAATGGCACTATTCTTTTGTACATTCCTCATACATGTAAATATGTGAAATGACAATGTTGACTTAACTAAGCAAACATTTATTAAATATGGTCTATGTTTCTAATGTGTAAGCAAAATAGTATTATTTCTCCTCTCACATCCTCAAAAGGATTCTCAATTACATGGTTGTTGAGTTCCAGATCCACTCTCCTCTTGAGGGAGTGGCCAAGGCATTCATAGTCACTCTCCCCTTGAGAGAGTAGCTGTGCTACTCACAACAGGAGGATTTGGCCAAAGTCCACCACATCTTACTATTAGCAAATATGTGAACTTTATTTTTACCTGGAAGCTGATCAGGACCCCACCTCAACATGCAACATTTGTGGTATGTTAAAAGTTCCAGGACCAGGACCAGTTTATACCAAAATGCCATTTAGAACTGGAAGAATTCTCAAGAATAAACAAAACTTCCTTCATACCATATATTCTAAAAGTTAAATTCAAATATTTAAAAAAATTCTAGTTCATATTCCATTGAATAGACATAAAACCCTTTCATAAATCTTCCACCAAAAAATTCCCTTGTTTTTTAGAACAAATAATGTGACTTCCCTTATATTCAAATGTATATTTTACCTCTTTTCAAATAGGTCTTCCACTTCAAATAATATGTAGAAACTTCCTTGTGACTGAAAGGTCCTCTTCTCTGTGGACTGTCAAGTAGTTTGTAAAAAATGTGGATATCTGTAGTGTTGTGGTGTGTGTGTGTGTGTGTGTGTGTGTGTGTGTGTGTGTGTGTTGGGGGGTGACCTGAGGGTATTCTTTACTCTTTAGTTATACTCAAGTATTAAAAAAAGAAGTGAGTGCAGAAATACAAATGATTGTAAGAAATTACTATGAAGAACTGTATGCCAAGAAATTTGAAAACCTAGGTGAAATGGACAAATTTCTAGAAAAATATAATCTTCTAAAAGTGAAGAAGAAGCAGAAAGCCTGAACAGACCATTAACAGCAGAAGAAATTGAAGCAGTAATCAAAAAACTGCTGACACACAAAAGCCCTGGACCAGATGATTTCACAGGAGAATTCTACAAAACATTTAAGGAAGAGCTAACCCCTATCCTTCACAGACTATTCCAAAAAATTCAAAATGATGGAAGACTCCCAAACTCTTTTTATGAAGCCAACATCATCCTAATCCCAAAACCAGATAAAGACACAAGAAAAAAAAGAAAACTTCAGGCTAATATCACTGATGAACACAGATGCTAAAATCCTCAACAAAATATTGGCAAACTGCATCCACAATACATTAAATAGATCATACACCATGACCAAGTGGGATTTATCCCAGGGATGCAAGGATAGTTCGATATTCACAAATCAGTAAATGTAATATACCACATAAACAAAAGCAGAGACAAAAATCACATGATCATATCAATAGATGTGGAAAAAGCATTTGATAAGGTATAGCACCCATTTATGATAAAAACACTCAGCAAAGTGGGAATAAAGGGAGCATTCCTCAACATAATAAAGGCCATATATGAGAGACCTACAGCCAACATCATACTCAATGGGCGAAAACTAAAATCTTTTTTACTAACATCAGGAACAAGACAAGGCTGTCCCCTTTCACCACTTCTATTCGATATAGTATTGGAAGTCTTGGCCACAGCAATCAGACAAGAAAAAGGAAATAAAAGGCATCCAAATTGGAAAGGAGGAAACAAAACTGTCATTGTTTGCAGATGACATGATAGTGTACATAGAAAAACCCATAGACTCCACCCCAAAACTGCTCGACTTAATAAATGAATTCAGGAAAGCAGTGGGATATAAAGTTAATATCCAGAAATCAAAGGCATTTTTGTATACCAAGAATAAAATAGCAGAAGAAGAAATCAAGGAAAAAATCCCATTTGATACAGCAAAAAATAAATAAAATACCTAGGAATAAACCTAACCAAGGAGGTAAAAGACCTGTATGCAGAAAAGTACACAACACTGAAGAAAGAAATCAAGAAAGACACAAACAAATGGAAACATATACCATGTTCATGGATCAGAAGAATTAACATCATCAAAATATTCATACTACCCAAAGCAATTTACAGATTCAATGCAATACCTATTAAAGTACCAATGGCATATTTCACAGGTATAGAACTTCAAAAATTTATGTGGAACCATAAATGATCCCCAATAGCTGCTGCAATTTTGAGAGAGAAGGGCAAAGTAGGAGGGATCACAATACCTGATACCAAACTGTATTACAAGGCCACTGTAATCAAAACAGCCTAGTACTGGCATAAAAACAAACACATGGACCAGTGGAACAGAACAGAGAGCTCAGAAATAAACCCAAGTCTCTATGGTCAATTAGTATTTGACAAAGGGGGCAGTAACATAAAATAAAGTAAAAATAGCCTGTTCAACAAATGGTGTTGGGAGAACTGGACAGCTACGTGCAAAAAAATGAAACTTGAGCACCCACTTACACCATACACAAAAATAAATTCAAGGTGGATAAAAGACTTAAATATAAGCTGTAACACCATTGAAGTTCTAGAGGCAGATAAATCTCAGATATTTCACACAGCAACATTTTTACTGATATGTCCCCTAGAGGAAGGGACATAAAGGAAAGAATAAACAAATGGGATCTCATCAAAATACAAAGCTTCTGCATAGCTAAAGAAAACATAATTAAAATTAAAAGAGGACCAACTATATGGGAAAACATATTTCCCAATGATTCCTCAGACAAGGGTTTGATCTCCAAAATATATAGAGAATGTACACGACTCCACTCTAAGAAGACAAGCAACCCAATTAAAAAATGGGCAAAGAACTTGAACAGACACTTCTCCAAGGAGGACATACAGAGGATCCAGAGACACATGAAAAGATGCTCAATATCGCTAGCTATCAGAGAGATGAAAATTACAACCGCAGTGAGATACCACTTCATACCAGTCAGAATGGCCATCATAAACAAAGCAACAAACAGCAAGTGTTGGAGAGGATGTGGAGAAAAGGGAACCCCAGTACACTGTTGGTGGGATTGCAGACTGGTACAACCACTATGGAAAACTGTATGAAATTTTCTCGAAAAACTACAAATGGATCTGCCTTTTGACCCGCAATTCCACTGCTAGGATTATACACTAAGAACCCTGAATCATCAATCCATAAGAACCTATGCACCCCAATGTTCATAGCAGCACAATTTACAATAGCCAAGTGCTGGAAGCAACCTAGGTGCCCATCAGTAAATGAATGAATCAAAAAATTATGGTACATTGACATGATGGAATACTACACAGCATAAAGAAAGAAGGAGCTCCTACCCTTTGCAACTGCATGGATGGAACTGGAAAGCATTATGCTGAGTGAACTAAGCGAGGTGGTGAAAGATAAATACCATATGATCTCCCCTTTAACAGGAACCTAAATAACAGAACAAGCAAACAAGCAAAATAGAACCAAAGACACTGAAATAGAGAACAGGCTGACAGTGTTCACAGGGGAGAGGGGAGGGAATTTCAGGGAAATTTCAGGAGAAAAGCGGAAGGGTTTACAGAAACAAGTATAAAAGACACATGGACAAAAAATGGTGGTGGGGGGCAGAATGGAAGGTGGGGAAGGGCTGGGTGGGTGGGCTGGGATGGGAGTAAAAGACAGAAAACTGTACTTGAACAACAATTTTAAAAAATTTTTAAAAAGCATGTTACAGAAAAAAAAAACATTATGGTACATTTACACAATGGAATACTATGCAGCAGAAAGAAAGAAGAAGCTCCTACCCTTTGCAACAGCATGGATGGATCTAGAGAACATTATGCTAAGTGAAATAAGCCAGGCAGTGAGAGACAAATACCACATGATCTCACCTATAAGTGGAGCCCAATCAACAAAACAAACAAGCAACCACAATAAAACCAGTTTGTTATTGAAATAACAAACTGAGAGTAACCAGAGGTGATGGGGGAGGGGGTAACACAGGTGCAGAGTAAGGGTTATCAAGGAACATATATAAAGGACACATGGACAAAGCCAAAGGGGGGTAGGATCAAGGATAGGAGGTTGGGATGGGTGGAGTTGCGGGGGAAATGGAGATAACTGCACTTGAACAATAATAAAGAAAATTCAGTGATTCAGGGGAAAAAAAGTGAGTGTATGATTGTCAAGCTCTGGCTGGTGGCCCCCTACAGACAGATTTAAATGTTAATTAAAGCCATGTTCAGAATGGAGTCTGTGGTATTTTTTCCACTACAAAGTCCATTAATTTTATAACTACTGGAAAGTCCACATGACTTGTACTCCCTACTGTGTCCATCATAGGCACATGTAAGAATACACCTTAAGCTTTTGTTTATTTTATCCTTTAGATTAAATTGTTGTATTTTAATACAATAATAAAGGCCATAAGTAGAGCAGAAAAGTAAAGTATATCTCATAAAGCAATCTATACAATAAATTGGAAAAAAGCCACATAATGGATGAAAGTATTGTTGGGTTAGGAAGTAAGTGAATAATAAAGCAGTTCAACATCAGAATTCTTAAAAGTACCAAAATATTTAAAAATATAAATTGTGGTATATAATCCATTCTAACTTTGAACACGGAATAAACAAAAAGAATAAAACGATGATGGTTCACTTTGAATTTGCTTAACCAAAACATTTTTCAGCCTTTCTGAGCTATGTTTGGGGTATCTATAAATTCTTATAAATGGAATTATTAGAGATATTTTATTTATTTATTTATTTATTTATTTATTTATTTATTTATTTATTTATTTTTAGACAGAGGGGAAAGGAGAGAGGGAGAGAGAGAAACATCAGTGTATGGTTGCCTCTTGTGTGCCCTCTACTGGGGACCTGGTCTGCAACCCAGGCATGTGCCCTGACTGGGAATCAAACCAACAACCCTTTGGTTTCACAGTTCATCACCGAA